TTTTGTTGCTCTATCTTCTTAATTGAATAACTTTTGTATAGGCTGTTAAAAAGGGTCGAGATCCAACACCATGTGAGTTGCATTTGCACGTCCATACACATGGTAATGATGGAAAATCTTTTGTTGCTGAGAAATCCCGAATCGTACATGTAAGATAACTTTTTAAATAATTTTATTGACTTTACTTTCATATATTTTTTCATTTGGTAAATTGAATGCTCAATATTATTTAGTCTTTTTATTTTACTAATTATTAACTCTTCTACAGGAAAAATATCAGGAGATATTATAACAACAAACACAGACTCAATCTGATATTGATCAGTGTAAAGCATATTATCAAGCTGCGGGAGGAGAAAAGAAAAGAAGAGTATATGGTCTTGGATCTCAAGCAAAATGCTACTACGGGCTAAATTTTCATGACTCTTTTGGATCTGATGCTACATCGTCAGCAACACCTCCAAATGCTCAATCAACACCGACAGGGAATCTGGATGAATTAGTGATGCGATTGATTCATGCACTGACAGATCATATAGTTCCTGTAATCGTTGAGCGGGTACGCGAATTAATTTTCTTACCCTCGCATCAGCCAAATACTGATCTTACCAACCACCTATTAGATGTGGCACCTACAGTCCTTACATCTTCTACTGCTGCTAACATTGATGAGGTTCATGCATTGGGTTCTCATGATGACCGTAACTCTCCAGCCTCGCATAGTTAGCCTATTTTCTTTGGACTTTATTGTTGGTCCTTGTGATTTTTTTGTACTTAACGATTACCAGTATATGCATTATGTTATATATTTTTGAACTTGTTGAATATATTGTTAATTTATATTAATATCAGTGACTTTTTATTAAGTGTATTTAAGAGCTTTTATGTAATATGCTTGATCAGAGTACATTTAAAATAATAAATAAAAAATATTTTAAAAAATTAGCAATATATTAAAAATAAATTAGCGACGGATACTTTCCGTAGCTAAAATTATCGCATAAAATTAAATCTTGCGACGAATTGGCGATAAAAGATTTTTGTTGCAAAAAGCAGGGAGAATTAGCTATAACACGACTAGTGACAGACGATTCCGTCGCTATTAAGAACAAACGACAAATTTTGTTATGTATTGTAGCGACAAAAGTCGTCAAAATAGCGATAGAAACAAGCAATATAGCGACGGTTATTTCCATCGCTAAAATTTGCTACAAATATATTTCGTCGCTCATCCGTCGCTAATTCTGCGACAGTTTGGTATTTTTCGTCGCTATGAGCCTAGCTACGAGCATTTTAGAGACAAAATTGAATCTGTCGCTAAACAATTGTAGCGATGGAATACGGCCGTCGCTAAACATTGTTTTTTTTGTAGTGTATCAAATTTCAATTAAGCAAACTATTTTCTGCATCAAATACACAGTAATACTAATATTAATCCAATTCATCAAAGTTGAGATTCGAAAAATCATTCGCATCACGTCAGGATTACTTTGAGCGTTGTTGTTTGAAGCGCATAGCGTTGCCAATAAATCAATAATCCTTCGCTTCATAATTCTTCAAACGACGAAGCAATGACTTTTAATAGCACTAGAGGCTAAATAGAAAATACAACGTGTTCTCTAATCATTACAAGAAAGAGAGAAGAAATACACAAAGGGAACCGAAATGTCACATTAATGAACAACAAACACTGCGTAAGCACAAGAATGAAGTTTTATGACACAAGTAAACAGAGCCGCTTAAATCCAAACAAATATTTTCTTTTTTCCAAATTTGATCTATGATTTTCTTTATTTCCAAATCTGGTCTATGTAACTCAAACTACTTCTGTACAGAAACATGAATAAGAGGAAAACATGTTATCTACCATACCAACCTTGTGGCGGCTGGCTTTCCCCATTATTCATCAACTTGTCCAACACCACATTCAAATCAACTGACTGTCAATTCTCTGTCAATCTCCGCACTGTTGCTCTTACTTGATCTCTTAAAAATCCCATATTTGTCACTTTATCAACTACATCATCAATAGGAACTCTAGTGTCAGTACGAGGAGAACTAGACCCAATACCAACTGCAGAAGCGGTAGGTTGTGCTTGAGGTAATATTCTTGCTGTGGAAGGTGCGGATAACCACTTCCACCACTCTCTCCCATTGCGGTCGAAGCAAGTTGCTGTGATTTCAAAGGGGAGTCACTGCCATAATGGACAGGGGAACCGCTATGGGGGCTCAAACATATTAGAGTGAGCTGCGTAAAACTGCTGGGAGGCAGGGGCTCCACTTGCTGGATTAGAGGGAGGTTGATTGGTATTTGGTAGTGGATAATTCTGCGATGCTATATGATGTCTCTCCTCAAGATCACGGCTCAATGGAGGTTGAGTTTGTGAGCGATTAACAGATGTATAAGGCGGATGCCCTTGAAGAGGTGGAGGTGGCTGCGAGTACAGTGGTGAAGGCGAAGGCTGATACCCTTGATGTGGAGGTGGTGGGATGGAGGTCTGTGGCTGCGGCGGTGCCGGCAGCTGGTACTGCTGACTAGAGTTTCCAGGTGCTCGACCAATCGGTGGGAAATAAGTTTCTTTTTGAGTGCCAAAAGGAATTGGGTTTTGGGCCAACTGATTCTGAAGCTGAACTTGAGATAGCGAATTCTGTTGCGGAGGGGGTGGAGGAGCATTAGGTGGAGGAAGGGTGAAAGGCAGTTGAGCAAGCGCAACAACAGGGGGGAATTGTTGGTGAGACAGAACAGGAGCAGATGACCTAGGTTGTGCTGAGTCCACGTGTGTAGTATTGTGGGTGTCTACAACCTGCTCAAGCTTTGGAACTTGAAATCTTGCAAGCTGTAGTTCAGTATCCATTATATCCTGTTTATTCTTTATGACATATGCACCATCTTGCACCTACATGAAATTTGTGTAACTAGAAGATAACATAGCTCATAACGATGATGTATACGGTAAAAATCGGTTAGTATTTCGTACGAATTGGTTTAAATGGTAATATATTGAATTGGAGAAGCGTGTTCGTAGTATCAGGTTGAGGTCCGAAGTTAGGTCATCAAGTTTCGAGTCCGAAGGACCGATCAATGTCGAGCTCGATGTTATTATCAAGCTCGAACCCAAGTCGAACTATGATGCAAAGTAAAGTTATCGAGCTTATGATTCAGAGACCGACCAACACTGACCCCGAATCAATACAGGGATCCGAGTCAAAATCGAGCTCGAGTCAAGATCGAGAGCTCGAGTCAAGACCGAAAACTCGAGTCAGTATCGAGCTCACAGACAAGAGTCGTTGCTATCCCACTAGAGGAGAGAATCCTGACAGGAATTATGGAAAAACTGATTTATCATGGGTCTCCCACTATGTATTTTTAATTATATCTAAAAGTAAGATCCTCCACTATAAAGAGGATGGCTACATTTCTGTAAAGGACAGCTTTTTTGCTTACATTGTAACTCATGCACCATATACCCCTGTATTGAAGAGTTATTCTTTTAAGTTTCATAAATTGATTCATCTTGCTTAGTCCTAAAAATCATCTTCTTTCCAATCTCGTTTATTTTGCATTCTTTGCAGTCCGTATTTGATATTTCTATTTATCCTTACGATTTGTATTAAGCTATACCATATATCCTTAGAACTACGTACGAATTCAACTATATCCGTTTTTTGGGTAAACAGTTTGGCGCCCACCGTGGGGCTTAGGATAACAGTGGTTATTTGATACGAATCTGCAAAAACACACCGTTTTGCACTTGTTTCCGAAAGTATCTTGGATTTCGGGTTAACAACGACTAACTATCAATTAAATGGCCTTACCTATCGGCAACGAAGCTGGTCTTCAAAATGAGAACAACAACTTGACAAACAATACCGAAAGACCGCTTGTCAACGCCGTTGGAGCTCGAATCGAAGTGTCGATAGACATTAATTCACATGTGGCCATTGAGGCGAACCTACATTCTAAACCTAAAAATAGCATTTATGGTGGCACCCAATCTGCAGCTCGAGATACTCATAACGTCGAGAAAAACGGCGTCAGCTTGCGTATGATTTTTGAAATGTTGCAAGCTCAACAGGCAATAATAGCTCAGTTGCAGAGTCAAACCCAGATACCGAGTAGGCCGGAGCCCAGTCAACCCCGAGAAATTGCCCATACAACGGAACCAGCTATAGTGAAATAAAATGAGCAGGAGTCGGGGACTAATCCCGAAATTGCTAAGATGTACGAAGAACTGATCAAACGAATAGAATCGCGAGAAAGGAGGATCGAAGCAAACGACAAAAAGCTGGAGACATACAACTCCAGGGTTGATCAGATCCCGGGGGACCACCAATATTGAAGGGCTTAGATTCCAAAAAATTCATATAAAAACCTTTCCCCCCAAGCACGACTCCTAAACCGATCCCAAAGAAGTTTCGCGTGCCCGAAATTCCTAAATATAACAGAACTACCGACCCCAACGAACATGTCACCTCGTACATATGTGCCATCAAAGGGAACGATCTAGAGGATGATGAGATCAAATTCGTATTATTAAAGAAATTCAGTGAAAACCTGTCAAAGGGAGCAATGATATGGTATCATAATTTGCCATCTAATTCTACCGATTCTTTTGTTATACTTGCGGATTCTTTCGTAAAAGCACACGCGGGACCATAAAAGTCGAGACCAGGAAGTCAGACCTGTTTAAGGTAAGACAAAAGGATAACGAGATGCTAAGGGAGTTCGTGTCTCGTTTCCAAATGGAATGAATGGATCTACCTTCAGTCACAGACGAACGAAGTTCGACGCCTTCACGGCGGTTGAAGCATAACCTGATCGAGTATCCGGCTATCACTTGGACCGACGTGCACAATCGGTACCAATCAAAAATTAGAGTCGAAGATGATCAGTTGGGGTCTGAACCCGCTGCTCGAAGGGATATCAATCGAGAACAAGGTCCGATAAGGGATCGACACCGACCGTATAATGAAAACCATAGAATCAATGAATCGAGATGTAACCCCGGACAAAGCAACAAAAGAAGTGATCGAGGTCAAGGGTCTCGGGGGATGATGAACATAGATGTGTTCGATAGGCCTACCCGATCTAAGGAAGCGCCTCGGTTATCGGAGTATAACTTCAGCATTGATGCATCCGCCATCGTGTCGGCTATCAGACGCATCAAAGACACTAAATGGCCTCGATCCATACAGACTGATCCTGTCTAGAGGAATCCCAATCAAATGTGCGAATATCATGGCACTCATGGCCACAGAACGGAAGATTGCAGGCAACTAAGAGAGGAGGTAGCCCGGTTATTCAATAAAGGGCACCTTCGAGAATGTTTAAGCGACAGGGCGAAGAACCATTTCAAAAACAGGGATTTCGGCAAACAAAACGAACAAGAAGAACCACAGCACGTCATCCACATGATCATCGGCGGCGTCGATACCCCTCAAGGGTCGGTGCTTAAACACACTAAGACATCGATTGTGAGAGAAAAGCGATCTCGAACTCAGGATTACGCACCCATAGGAACTTTGTCCTTCATTGATGAAGATGCAGATGGAGTCATACAACCTCATAACGATGCACTGGTAATATTCGTACTTATGAATAAAACTAAAGTTAAGCGTGTGTTAATTGATCCAGGTAGCTCGGCCAACATCATTAGATCGAAGGTTGTAGAATAGCTCGGTCTACAAGACCAGGTCATACCCGCAATCCTGGTTCTAAATGGATTCAATATGGCATGTGAAATCACCAAAGGCAAGATAATTCATCCGATAAACGTGGACAGGACCATCCAGGAAACGAAGTTCCACGTAATCGAAGGCGACATGAGGTACAACGCCCTTTTTGGAAGGTCATGGATCCACAACATAAGAGTTGTACCTTCGACCCTACACCAGGTTCTTATATTCCCAACATCAAGGGGAGTCAAAACAGTGTACGGAGAATAACCGGCCGCAAGAGAAATGTTTGCTGTCGAGGAAGCGAATTCGATATCCTCGCCTTCGCCAATAAAGGGATCGGGCTTAAAAGGGGAACAAGATGCCAAATAGCAATCACAGACATCAGCTTTAACCCAACCAGATAATCAGAAGATCGACGAAGATGATGATCAAAGGATCCCTCGATCCTTCGTGCTTCCCGATGATTCCGACGCTACCCAATCAACGATTGAAGAGTTGGATCAAGTCATACTAATCGATCATTTGCCCGAATGAAAGGTATACCTGGGAATGGGATTAACCCCCGAACTCAGGAAAAGGCTTATTCAATTTCTTAACGATAACATGGATTGTTTTGCTTGGTCCCATTTAGATATAACAAGGATCCCACCTGATATAACGACGTATCGGCTAAGCCTGGACCCTAGGTTCCAACTGATAAAGCAAAAGAGAAGGCCCTAATCCGAGGTAAAGCACGCATTCATAAAGGACGAGGTAACTAAACTTCTCAGAATAAGGTCTATTCGGGAGGTGAAATATCCTGAATGGTTAGCCAATGTAGTTGTAGTCCTTAAAAAGGGAACAAACTTAGAATGTGTGTAGATTACAAGGATTTAAACAGGGCATGCCCCAAAGATTCTTTTCCACTGCCTAACATCGATCGCATGATCGATGCCACAGCCGGCCACGAGATCCTTACTTTTCTCGATGGCTATTCCGGGTATAATCAAATCCAAATGAAATCGGAAGACCAGGAAAAGACTTCATTTGTCACCAAGTATGGAACATATTGTTATAATGTGATGCCCTTCAGGCTAAAAAAATGCAGGAGTTACTTACCAACGCCGAGTAAATAAAATGTTCGAGGAACAAATAGCTAAATCAATGGAAGTTTATATTGATGACATGCTAGTTAAGTCCCTGCGCAGAGGACCATTTGGCTCATTTGCAGGAAATATTCGAGATTTTAAGGAAATACAACATGAAGCTCAACCCCGAGAAATGTGCTTTCGGGGTCGGTTCGGGAAAGTTCCTCGGCTTCATGGTATCAAATAGGGGGATCGAGATTAACCCCGATAAAATCAAGGCCATCGAAGATATCGCCGTTGTGGACAGCATAAAAGCCGTGCAGAGGCTAACGGAACGGATTGCTGCCTTAGGCCAATTCATTTCAAGGTCGTCAAATCGAAGTCACAAATTTTTCTCTCTACTCAAAAAGAAGAACGATTTCGCTTGGACCCCGGAATGCCAACAAGCATTAGAGGAATTAAAACGATATCTATCGAGCCCACCACTGCTTCATACACCAAAAACAGACAAAAAACTTTGCTTGTACTTAGCGATATCGAAAATCGCGGTATGTGGTGTCCTAGATCGAGAAGAGCAAGGTATGCAATTTCCCGTTTATTATGTAAGTCGAACCTTAGGAGAAGCAGAAACTAGATATCCACAATTAGAAAAATTGGCACTTGCTCTGATAAGCGCGTCTAGAAAGTTAAGACCGTACTTTCAATGTTATCCCATATGCGTATTGACCACTTACCCACTTCATAATATTTTGCACAAGCCCGAACTATCAGGCCGATTGGCCAAATGGGCCATCGAACTCAGTGGGTACAATATCGAATATTAACCTCGTACGGCCATCAAGTCTCAAATTTTAGCGGACTTCGTGGCTGATTTCATGCCGATCCTCATACCCGAAGTTGAAAAAGAACTCTTATTAAAATCGGGTACGTCATCGGAGGTATGGACCCTTTTTACGAATGGGGCTTCGAACGTGAAGGGGTCCGGGCTAGGCATCGTTTTAAAGCCACCCACGAGTAACACTATTAGGCAATCTATCAGAACTACTAGGTTGACTAACAACGAGGCCGAGTATGACGCCATGATTGCAGGTCTCGAGCTAGCTAAAAGCTTGGGAGCAGAAGTCATTGAAGCCAAGTGTGACTCTTTGCTG